TAATGATAATATGGAAATTTATAAAGAGCTAGTATCGACATCACTGAGGGACATGCTCAAAGCATGACAATCGTCCGATTATTCAGTCAAAATTCAACTGAACACAACGTAATGACAAAGTTCATCCGATCACGAATGGCGAATATAATAAGTTTTGGGGTTATTTTTTGGGGTTACTTTTTGACAGACCTTCACCACGGCGTGTGGATGGTAACACATCCATTTTAAGTTTCATCAAAATCGGTTGAAAACTAAGAGAGTAATAGCATATTCAAGATTTTGGGGCAATAACTCTGCTTCTAACGGTCGAAAATAGCTCAAATTCGAACTTGATCTTCGTTTTGTGAATATGTATACACATACCGAATTTCATTTGATTTCATCAAAAAATCTAGTTTTTAGAGCGTTTACAAGCAAATGTTGACGGACGGACGGACCGACGGACGGACAGGGGTGCCAACAATATACGTCCACATAGAGAGATGTGGGCGTATAAAAATTTGTATTGCAATGTCTGAAGCTCAACAGATAGTTGGACTGATATGTAAGAATGTTTTACCATTTAAAAATGTGTTTTAGGGGGTTTAGAAAACATTCATAAAACGATGCTTAAACGTTTCAGATCAAAATACACAAATCCGAAGCCAGCTAAATGTCAAGAGTTTCGGACTATGCATTGGCACTTGATGTTATCGATGACTGTTTTTCACACAGTTGACTTCGAACGTTTTATACTCTTTTTTCTTTGCTTCAGCAATTATAAATACGTTACTTATTTTCAGTATTTCCAATAAGCCACAACACTGAATCTTTACTGTTGGTAACTAGAATTGATATTTAGATATAGGGATGTATGTTTACTGATATCTGAATCTCTTCTGTTGGTAACTAGAATTGATATTTAGATATAGGTATGTATGTTTACTGATATCTGAATCTCTTCTGTTGGTAACTAGAATATTGATATTTAGATATAGGTATGTATGTTTACTGATATCTGAATCTCTTCTGTTGGTAACTAGAATTGATATTTAGATATAGGTATGTATGTTTACTGATATCTGAATCTCTACTGTTGGTAACTAGAATTGATATTTAGATATAGGAATGTATGTTTACTGATATCTGAATCTCTACTGTTGGTAACTAGAATTGATATTTAGATATAGGAATGTATGTTTACTGATATCTGAATCTCTTCTGTTGGTAACTAGATTTGATATTTAGATATAGGTATGTATGTTTACTGATATCTGAATCTCTTCTGTTGGTAACTAGAATTGATATTTAGATATAGGAATGTATGTTTACAGATATCTGAATCTCTACTGTTGGTAACTAGAATTGATATTAAGATATAGGTATGTATGTTAACTGATATCTGAATCTCTACTGTTGGTAACTAGAATTGATATTAAGATATAGGTATGTATGTTTACTGATATCTGAATCTCTACTGTTGGTAACTAGAATTGATATTTAGATATAGGGATGTATGTTTACTGATATCTGAATCTCTTCTGTTGGTAACTAGAATTGATATTTAGATATAGGTATGTATGTTTACTGATATCTGAATCTCTTCTGTTGGTAACTAGAATTGATATTTAGATATAGGTATGTATGTTTACTGATATCTGAATCTCTACTGTTGGTAACTAGAATTGATATTTAGATATAGGAATGTATGTTTACTGATATCTGAATCTCTACTGTTGGTAACTAGAATTGATATTTAGATATAGGAATGTATGTTTACTGATATCTGAATCTCTTCTGTTGGTAACTAGATTTGATATTTAGATATAGGTATGTATGTTTACTGATATCTGAATCTCTTCTGTTGGTAACTAGAATTGATATTTAGATATAGGAATGTATGTTTACAGATATCTGAATCTCTACTGTTGGTAACTAGATTTGATATTTAGATATAGGTATGTATGTTAACTGATATCTGAATCTCTACTGTTGGTAACTAGAATTGATATTAAGATATAGGTATGTATGTTAACTGATATCTGAATCTCTACTGTTGGTAACTAGAATTGATATTAAGATATAGGTATGTATGTTAACTGATATCTGAATCTCTACTGTTGGTAACTAGAATTGATATTTAGATATAGGGATGTATGTTTACTGATATCTGAATCTCTTCTGTTGGTAACTAGAATTGATATTTAGATATAGGTATGTATGTTTACTGATATCTGAATCTCTTCTGTTGGTAACTAGAATTGATATTTAGATATAGGTATGTATGTTTACTGATATCTGAATCTCTTCTGTTGGTAACTAGAATTGATATTTAGATATAGGTATGTATGTTTACTGATATCTGAATCTCTTCTGTTGGTAACTAGAATTGATATTTAGATATAGGTATGTATGTTTACTGATATCTGAATCTCTACTGTTGGTAACTAGAATTGATATTAAGATATAGGTATGTATGTTTACTGATATCTGAATCTCTACTGTTGGTAACTAGATTTGATATTTAGATATAGGTATGTATGTTAACTGATATCTGAATCTCTACTGTTGGTAACTAGAATTGATATTTAGATATAGGAATGTATGTTTACTGATATCTGAATCTCTTCTGTTGGTAACTAGAATTGATATTTAGATATAGGTATGTATGTTTACTGATATCTGAATCTCTTCTGTTGGTAACTAGAATTGATATTTAGATATAGGTATGTATGTTTACTGATATCTGAATCTCTACTGTTGGAAACTAGAATTGATATTGTTGATTTTTTGTTGATATTTTTTTATGTGCAATAAATGTGAATTCTAATCGTAAAAAGATTGCATGAACATCAGCATCTGTCACGCCTTGTCCCTTTAGTTTAATTTCACTAAAACTGTATATCGTGATTTTAAAACAATATCATTGTCTGATTTCAGATATCCAACATGAATACAGTGATGTTACTAGGAATTGCACTAAAGGTTTTATTTAACTGTAACTCTGTATCAGCAGGTAAATTTATATATATATTTATCTTTATAATTTATCTTGTGGAAATGGAAATACCTTTTTTGTTGACCCCTTCCTATTTGTAGTGTTGTGTGTATGTTGAGAACCTATGACGGGTGTGTCACAAGACAGAGTTTGCTTACTCTTCTAGACACCTGATACAAGGAAAATACACTGGCTATCAAGGAAAACAGTTCACAGTGTGGCAGAATATAGTAGAAAATTGAAAACTGTATGTGTATCGGGGACACTGATACCATCGATTTGACAATCAGACGTCTGTGGTTCTTGCAATTCCTCCAAAACTATCGTCACTGCTAACAATATCTAAAAGCCTTTACGGTAGTGACTATATAAAACGTTTTATGTTTAGTTTTCTTGATGTTTTTTGACAAATTTCAGGTTGCTATTTACAGTACAAGTCAAAGGAATACCCCGAAACTAGTTACACTCTATCTGAACTGACCAATATAACCAACAGTGCCGACTGTGATACCGAATGTAATGGGCGATCATCCTGTACTGATTCCAGTTTCACATCACCGTCAACATGTCAACTATTTCAATCGCCATTAATCTACTACAGTTATAATGAGGGTGTTCTTCAGTGTGAAGCGGATTGCGACGCTAGGGATAGTTGTGTAGTTTATCAATTTGGTTCCTTCCGATGTTTCTTGTTTGACGAGATGTTAGAAGGGCCGTTTGCTGGAACAGAATCTTATAGTTTTTATGAACAGAAATAGTAATGATGATGATGATGATGATGATGATGATGATGATGATGGACTATACTCAACTACAAAAAAAATCAGAAAAATAACTATTCTTTTTAACAGTCAAATTTAGTATCAAAACAAAAACTAAATATTCTCTAATCTTAACATTAAGCTAAAGGGGGGTAACTCGTCTACTTCAGAACAAAGCTATTGACTGTTTCTTTTGTAATTGTGTATATAGCATATTGAATAAATAAAATATTTGATGCATTGAAACGTGTTCTGTTTCTGTTTGACTTCGATAAAGACTATAAGAACGGTAGACTCCACCTCTATTGTGCAGTGAAAAATTGATATCATAAGAAATACGAACAACTAGGTATACTTGGTATTACAGCCCTCGACACCTATTGTACTTAAGATACGAGACTGATATAGAAACTTTTACAGATTTAAGAAAAAAAAGAAGTGAAAAACATTTTGCTAACGATCATCTTAAAGACCATCGTGTCCATACCACACCAAACCACAACCATCTGTCATACTTTCTCGAGACCGTAGTAAGTGAGATAAATGACGTATTCATTGCTAATTATTGTCCAATCAAATTTGGCCCTACCGTATTGGTAGCAATTAACAAGCAATCGTTATGACGCTACGTAAACAATATGTACGATACAAAATTGAGTAATGTTTTCGGTAAAGATTTAAAGCCGAGAGGAAATCAAACCTTACTTTGGAATATTTACTTGGAAAGAATGTGTTCTTATCTCTTCAAACGGGCGACGGGAAAGCGGTGTTCTGTTTTGTTTACATGACCTCATTTCTTTTCTACCGATCTGATTGGACAGATTCACCAATCTCATTTCCAAAATACAAAATACAGATACTTTATTTGATATAGTGCGATTCGGGATATTACATCAACAAAGGCACTGAACAATAATAAAAAAAATCACATGCATGTACATATAAATAAATACCAATCTTTGTTTCTATAGACAAAGTCCATATCAATTAAAAGACAATACGCAATAAGAAGTAAGCACCAATACATAATCCCTGTTCATCAAGTCGATTTATGTCATATTGTGGTATTTTAATAAGTATACTGTTTGAATAGTCCAGATGACTCATGACAATCTCAGTGCTTTGTTTCTGATGCATCTCTGGTAAGAAACTTTAATCAGTTGCAGACTTCTTATTCCAATCATTGAAGCTTGACATTTAACAGTAATCTGACAATGTCAAAATCCGTATTAGTATTACAATGCTTACAGACTGGCTTTGATTTAAACAACAGTCAAAGAGTATTTAACTGGACTTGTGTCTTCGATATTTTATATTCTAGATTAATCTATCGAGGGTTATATAAGGCCTGTACCATCTAACCTATACCGCGATTATAAACTAGAGATCTAGACCAGATGACACAAGACGGACTGATGTAATTAGTTTGTATACAGAATGCAAGATTCCACCCTTGAATGGAATCAAACAAATTCACACTTGCACAATAGTACAAGAAAATACATATAGATAATGAAGAAATTATAGCTATTTTATATTGATATTTATCATTGAACACGACTTTCCTTTTCACTCGATCGATGTCTTACAAACTTTAACAGCGGGAACTCACGAATGATTTATCAACGTTGTGGTTCGATAATTAGTAAGGTGGTATTTAGTAAGATAGTGTCCATTCCGTGGCAATACGATAGTTGTAGTATCCCCTTAAGGGAGCACTTTAAAAACAAAGTAAGCAATGGAATGTATACAGATTAAAACGTATTGGTTACAATGAGATATTGACAAGCATTCGGGCGATTGAGTACTACCTTTAAACTTATTGGAGAACCATAACTGCTGGTACTGTATAGATACGACGTGTAATCAATTAGCCGTTTTTGATAATTTTGATATTTGGTTCTTTGGTTTTAATTAGTTTTCTGATACAACATACTTCCACCACACAGAGCTGTAATAATAATCATAATTTTATTAAAAACCCAATTGCACATGTCCCCCCTCCCCCCATAACGATAACAAAATCCTCTATCAAATTATCAAAAAGGACAATTGAAACACTCGAGACGAAGAACCAGAGTCGCCCTTCAAAGTTGTAAATGGATAAAAGTAAAATGTATTTTTGATGAACAGGGTAATAATATATCTAAGAGAGAATTCCCCATTCGGGAACTACTTCGGACGAAGGACTCTGTATACTCAGATAAGCAGTTATGTTTTTTTATGACAACTGTTCGGACTATATAAAGACTGTATTGGAAGACAGGGACAATAGGACGACTAGGATGGTACAGTAGTCGTGTGAAATATAAAGAAATATTGGCCAGTAATCGTCTAGGGAGAACAATGTATAAATATTATATCAATTTTCACCGTTTTCTCGCTGATTATAACCTCATTCTCTCATTATTACAGTAATAGATATATCATACAGGATTGTTTGTTCAATAATTTGGGCAACTTGATAAGAGATTGGATCTACTTGCTATTTTCTTCTGAAAGTGATATCTGGAGATGTCATGGAAATAGCTTGCCTTACTGATTACGCTGGGTCTCAATACAGTCAATTCTTCTCAATAATAAAAGAAATAAAATGGAAATTTACTTTCAAATTTTCAGTTTCTGATTGGACTATTGAAGCCATGCCAACATCATACAATTCAGAAATAGTTAACTTAAACCATAACATTAGAGCATCAAACCTTACCAACCTTCAATGTATGAGGCATCGTTCTATTGGCCCATTAGAATAAGATGCTTTTTTCATGCCAGTTAAAGGCACAATAACGTACAGGACAAGTAAAACATAAAACTGAAATCAAATATTAGTAGAAAGGATATATTCGTGATTTAGAGCGATAATGATCATGTCCGTATCATAGGCCTAACATAATATCTAGATTGAGCGATTCTAAATATTATTTCAACAATTCCCAATAGCACCTTTGATTTGTTTTGGTGGACCAAAACCTACAGGAATAGTTACATTACGAAATATTATATACCGGTACATCTCAATTAACTACACACCGAACCACTTTAAAGCAGAAGAATAATTATTATTAATATTGATTCAGGCGATCCTCCCATCTCGTTTTCTTCCCTCCCAATACATAAAAACTAACAGACGACAAACAGCTTAATAACAGACGAGAGCAAATCGTGTGGCGGGAACACAACAGACAAACATTTGAAATTAAAATGGCTGCAGCGTTGAATGGAAAGTGGGAAATCTACTCGAGTGAGAATTTTGAAAACTTTATGAAAGCAATCGGTAAGATTAACAATATTATATTTTTTTTCTTTTTTCTCACAAACCAACATTTTTATCAATTCTTAATTTATCATTCTTGTTGGTTACTTTAATTTCTTCTACAAGTGTTTTACATTGACTCACTTTTATAACAACTCTAGTATCTACATTTATTTACTGTCTAACAAATTCACAGAGTGAAGCTATAATACATCACAGGCTGAGGCTATACATGATTTACAAAATTCACAATTACAGAATTTCGAATTCATTCCATAAAAAATATCTTTGGTCTCCTGACGTTGACTTTTTTACATTTTGTTTGTGTATTATTCCCACAGCTTTTTACATTTCTTTGCCTCTAACTTGATTAAATACCTGACTTCTTTCTACAGGTGTATCATTTAACACAACAACTGTTACCTAGTTGTATTTAAATAGAGAGTCTGTTTGTAACGATTGTATAATGCAACATGCTTGTTCAACGTTGGCAGAATAGGCACCTAATCTATAACAAGTCAAATAGTGTGGGTGGTCTACAAGAATGTTTACACTGGACTCTTTTTTTTAATCTTGCAGGCCGATCTATTTATGTTTTTTATATTTTTAATTGGTGTTCTTAATAGATGGTATTTATCACTGTGAAAACAAATAAATAATCACAGAATATTTCGAGATATCTGATGTCGTAAATATCTGAAAAGTAACTGGAAAACCCAGATGCGACTAACTTACTAAAACTCTTTTATACTGTGCAGTCGCATCTTGACTTAACCTAACTTCTCGAGATGATCTTTATGTTTTAAAATATCCTGAAAGCTTTATAGTGTTTAACCGTGAAACACTTTGTTGTTTTAATGAAACTGTTTTGTTTTAGAGAAAAGAAAAGTATACTGTTTGGATTTAAGCCAATCAAAATTTTCAAAACATTTGATCTAAAGGGAGAGTTTCAGGAAGTTGTCTTATTTCCTTTTTTAAGAAAAGAAATAGCATCACAGGATCGGTTCTTTGATTAAATATGCATTAGCATATATGCATGAATATAAGTGGGCGTATATAAATGTTTAAATGTTAAAACAGATGTTAACTATCTGTCTATATATTATATTAAACCAATTCAAATATAAACATCTGTAAAAGTCTAGGCACTAGTTTGACCTTTATCTTCCAGTTTTATACTCATCATGATTTGTCATCAATATATTTTTGATGAAAATAATCAACCCGACTATTCTGCACCTAGTTGGATTATTGAAGTGTTATACCATTAGGTTTGTTATACGGCACACTTGCCAGGACACGAGCCTAAACATTAAACATAAGAATGATAATCAGAGTTTTATTATCCTATTGTTTTATTATCCTATTGTTTTATTATCCTATTGTTTTATTATCCTATTTTATTATCCTATTGTTTTATTATCCTATTGTTTTATTATCCTATTGTTTTAGTAACGAAATATTTTAGAACGAATCACCCCTTGCTAAGGTATGATTTATCAACTCCGTGCCCCTAAATAAAGTGTAGTTTTTTTTAGCTCACAAATACGCCGATTCGAAAGCCAAATACACACGGAATCCTGTTACGAATTCTTTCTAAAAGATAGCTTGCCAGGCAAGGTAACACACGCCCACTACCAGCTATCAGAAATCAAAGTCTTTTGTGGCTTAATAATGAATTTTCAAATTATCTAAATTTCATCTGTAAGTCAAGGCAAAAACCTGAAACAGTTCATCAGATTATCATTTAATTCAAACACAGACAATGTCTCAAGCTTTGTTCACGAAGTAAAGGCTAAGAACTCTCCGGTCCTGAAGATGATGTTGAATCAGAAGATATTCACCTTGTGTCACGATTATTGTAGCTAAAAACAGTTTATTTAATATTTTTATCTACTGTGAATAAATGAATTGCCTATCATGAGTGTTATCTGACAAAAGAACATTCGAGAGATTTTTCATGTTAAATGGCATACAATAGAAAACCTGCTCAACATACCGGAAACTCTGATACAAAGGAAGTTTTTGTTCGTCTGAATTACTATTCTTTATCTACTTTGTATAAATCAATTAGTCGATTAATTAATATTCTCTATGATAACTAATTGATTTTTTAATTTAATTTAATTTATTGATAACAAACGACTTATTGATCTTTATACACTTTTATAGTTTTTTATATTTAGTCACTCGAAGTCAATTGTACGCATGGTTCATCAACATTATTAATATATTTCTGAGTCAGCAGGAATTGTTTCAGTTCATTAACGATACATACTAACCTAATGTAATTATAAAATATAATCAAAAGGAGATCAAAGAGGTATTCAGGTCCTTACGATCAACATATTGGTTTCCATGCAAATGATCTGACTTGCTTCTATTCTGTGTTCTACTATTTTCTTTTTTGTAAGTGCAACTATTGACAATTTTATCATAAGATATTATATTTATTTTATAAGTACAACATACAATTTTATCTAAAACTGCTCTAGGAGAAAATATAAACATAAGACTTCCTTCGATTTCAGATAATGTACCTCAGTCAATTACAGTTTTTAAACAGTTGTCTTGCCTTCAGTTACCTATTGATGTGACACGACCTGTTCAGTAGAAAAAAACAAAACTCTTGAAAACGTTTCGCCGTATCGAACACGAGAACTCGGGTACTATTTGTATACAGTAAAATATATAACTAGTAGAAGAACGTATAAATTATAAAGTTTTTACGACAGAAAAAGGTCATACATGGATTATGATTACAGTGATGGATTTATCAAACTGTAAGTCGAAATCAAAATTTTCCTTGTTTTTTTATTAGAGGGGACATAATCCATGAGTTCAACCTTTTCTCAGCCACTGAGATTTATAGCAAGTTGTATTTTTAGTTTTCTCGTGTCCCCTATATGCTGCCGTGGACTTGCTATCGCAGAATTCTGATGATGATGATAATAATGATGATGATTATGATTATGATGATGGTGATGACGATGATGATAATGATGATGGTGATGATAATAATGATGATGATGATGATGATTATGATTATGATGATGACGATGATGATAATGATGATGGTGATGATAATTCTGATGATGATAATGATGATGATAATGATGACGATGATGATGATGATGATGATGATGATGATTAAATGATAATGGAGATAATAATAATGATGTATATCAGATGTAAAAGTGAATGATTATGAGTCTCACACATCGTAGTTCAAGAATTATATCCGAACACTGATAACACTTGTTTTCTATATAAAACTTGCTAACGAACCCCATCAAGTTATTATATATAATAACAATCAATTATCGTACATATCTATTACACATTCTCAACATATCTTTTTAAACACTATAATTATCATGGTAGTGTTAAGTTCTGTTGGTGACGGGTCGCTCGTAGAGCTCGATGCTTGCTCAATAACCTGTTTGGGTTCGGGTGTGGTATACTAAGGACCGTATGCTTCGCTCGAACTTAACGCTAAGTCAGACTATGTAAAGTTTCGCCTGAGTTCGACTTTGTAACTAATTCATTTCGGTATGCATGGCTTCAACTTAAACTTATCTTTGCTAAGTTTAACTTCTTCTGTGTATGTACGGAAAACCAACGATAACTCAAAGAATTATAATTTAATTTCTAATATATTTGTTAATAGAAAAAGTGATTGATACATTTTTTTACTAAAATTTTGATCGGACACTTAGGCCTACGGACAGCAAGAATTTGGCATGTTTCTCATGTGCTTTTCCGTGGGTTCTTTACTATAAATACGCATCAGGGTCATTTACAAATCATGATTTGATTGATTGTTCAAGATATCAGATAATTACTTACTGTAATTCCTTATCGATGTAGTGGATGAGTTTAAGGGTGTATTGGAGTCGAAACAAAATGATATTCGGTCCATACAAAGGAAGGAAAAGGCGTGGGGAGAAATAGAGGCCCACTTTCTTTAAACGAGATCACAGGCAGTTAAAGAAATGCTGGAATAATTTGAAAATGAAGGCAAAAAAATCTGTAGTGATTGAAAAAAGACAGAAAGAAAACTGGTGGTGGTATACTGGAGACAATGGATTCTAGTAACTCAAATCAGGTGTGTGCTATGATACCGCGGCACAAATGCACCCTTTGCAGAATGATTTTGATAACGATATGGATTTCCATCAAGATAGCTTCACTTTGGCTCAACGGACGTCAGGTTAGTTAAAGGGATACAGTTCTCTGATTATACATAATTTGAACTTCTCAAATCCGCAAATTCAATTTCAATAAAAAGTAGATATTAATATGTCCCTTCGAGTTTAACAAGTGCTGTGGAAATTTCGAAAGAAGATAAATTACTAGGCTGATTCCACGTCTTCGAAATAAGTTGCATTTGCACGATTCGAACTGTTAAGTAACACCTTACTTTAAACAATCCCTTCTGCATTGGTACTGAATTTTTAAATTCCAGCGGAACATTGTGTCCAGATACAAATACAGTTCCAACACAGAAATCATCACGTGTTCCATGTGTACAGCCAATTGTTCCAATTATTCCTGAAAACTGCGTAATATCGTAAAAACCTCGTTCTATTGTTTTTATTTCATTTTCATCTGGAAACGTAATTACCTCGGGCCTATGAATAGCTACAGCCCTTGATACCAATTTCACTATTCGGGAGACACTGGATTGATGAACGCCCATTATGTCCCCCACGTTTATTTGGAGCCACTAGCATACCAACGAAGACATACCAATAACTGTAGTAATGGTGGGATATGTACAGTTTGGTCACATCGATGATTGAACTCATTTCAAAACTATGCAGAACGCCATCCTTCGGAAATCTGAAGCGTTTCGTAAATTCACTCTCGTCTAGATCTTCCATTGGATTTGAGCGGTCTTTAAATCTCCTCTCCACATGGTAAATATCTATAATTTGGTGTAATTGGTTGAAATAATCTTCCATTGTCACAATTTCAATCGCAAACGTATATAAAGTACGGCTAAAGTCTGCTACCAC